ATTAGCTTAAACTTGCACTGAATGGGGAAATTCATAATTAGAAAAAATATATACAAACAAATACCACAGATGGCCATTTATTAGCTATGAAAGACTGGATGCAGAGTGCAACAAAATTGCAGGTTGGAAATTATTCAGACTTAAACAAATCAGTAATTCTGGTTGGTCACAACTTACATGTATGTTCTGGCCACACCAGGCATTAAAAAAAATTGATTTAGATTTTTCATAAATTATAAATGCTATTGGTCACTCTTTATGTCTTTCTGTTGGTTTTACAAATATTTCACCAGTGAAAAAATAATCAAAAAGTGCTTGTGTCTGAACCTCATAACTCCACTGGATTCTCAAACTGTCACCAAAAACTCCACCGATCTTGAACGAAGCACCGCTCACAAAGTTTGGAGATGATCTCTGCTTGTTTGCGATGCAAGGGTAAATAAAGAACTGTTTTTTTGAATAAGCACAGGGTTTACGCTCTATAGAGGCTAATGTTTTATGTATTTGAAGAATGGAGAAGAGTATCTTAGTCTAAAATTCACTGGATAACGTTAGTCAAAAACAATACTATCTTAAAGTGATAGTACACCCAAAAATGCTGTTGTAAATAATGTTCAGTTTCTTGCACAGACTGATCGTTCAGGAGCCACAGGTATTAATTTTGTGCTGCCTGTATATGCTTTTTTTGGCTCTCAAGTGCCGGTAGCCATTGGACCTTGGGGATTCATAAAATGCAAGCCACAGTTTCAGCTAAAAATCTTCTTTACTGTTCTACTCAAGAAAAATAAAAAAAGTGTCACCTACATCTTTGCTACATCTAGCAAATTTAAATTTTTGGTGAATTATCCCTTTAAATAGCCTTTGCACAGCAGTTCGTTTTTCATAACATGAGATTTTGGTCAAATGTATTAAACACCAGGGAAAACTGAGTGCCCACATAGCTACAATAAACTTCAAAACCTGTAAGTTAATGAAAACAATGTGATGCACTTGTTGCCTCGGATGCAGCCATTCTAATGATGGACAAAACGCGTATTTCCGACATTCGCTGGTCAAAAACCTCCGAACTCCATTTAAGCTTGCTTGTGGTAAAATGTTATTGACACATGCAAGTGTCTAACAATATGTAAAGCCACAACTCCAACTTTGATGACAGTGTTTAATTATTTAAAACCTATGGGGTTTTTCTCATTTCCTAAAAAAGCAGTGGGTTTGGACAAACACAGCGACGATATGCAGCTCATGGTTATAATATGGCAACGCTTCTTTTTAAGAGCATGTTTGTGTACAAGTTTGGTAGGCTACTCTGTTGGGTCACCAATTCATGTCTCACATAAACTCTGGATCCTACAGCAAAACCAAATGAGAACCGTGGACCTAAACCACAAGTCAAGTGACAAGTGTATCTTGACAAACATATGCAGTTAAAAAAAAATTTATTCACATAAAGATTATATGAAGGATAAAGGTGCATTAGCAAAAGCTTGGTGGCAAAAAGTTCTACTGTCTAATGTCAATAGTGTAGTGATGTATAGAGCTCACACAGAAGTCACTTTCAAACCAGTGTTATTGATATACTAACATAATATTTAATCATATTTAGAATTAGCTTTTATTTTTATATTCAGTTGTCATTTGAATATTAGTTTCTGTATTTAAGCTATGTGATTTTGTCATTTTTATTCGTTTATTTTTTTAAATTAAGGAGTTAAGCTTACCGGTAAAGCCCCGTTCACACCAAGAACGATAACTATAAAGATAACTATAAAGATGACGATATTAGCGTCCACACCAGCGAGCGATATCGTCTGTTTATTCCAAGCGAACGCTCGTCTGCCGCTTTAAATTCTTAAGCTCGATGGATTCTGATTGGCTGTCAATTTTTTATCGTTTATCGGCTGGAGAAAAATCGTTTTGAAAGTTATTCCAACAATATCGTTTCTCTTTGTCTTTATCGTTATAGTTGTGGTGTGGACTCTGCTATTTCTTTAATATTGAGAACGATTTTTAGAACTATATCTTTATCGTTATCTTTATAGTTATGGTCCTTGGTGTGAACGGGCCTTAACACTTTACAATAAGTTTCATTAGTTAACATTAGTTAACATGAACCAAGCATGAACAATACTTCTACAGCATTTATTAATCTTAGCTAATTCCAACATTTACTAATGCATTATTAAAATCAAAAGTGCTTGTTAACATTATGCACTGTGAATTAACATGAACTAACAGTGAACAACTATATTTTCATTAACTTTAACAAAGAATAATAACTACTGTAATAAATGTATTGTTCATTGTTCATGTCAGTTAATACATTGGAACTTTATTGTAAAGTGTCAGCAGTTTACTTAGCATTTTATTTTAAAATAGTTTTTAATAATTTAAGTTTAAATAAACGATAACACTGTTTCAAACCAAGCAGCTTTCTGTTGGTCAACACGGTGCACCTGTTGTGAAATATGAACGGGGAAATCTTTGTCACTTTCATGTGACATTTCCAATCATGTGGATTCCTATCGAAATCCCTGGATTTTGCCCATGAACATTTGCAAAACAATGGTAAAAGTATTCATTTACAATCACTATCAGCTCTCAGAACGTGCACTGTGAATTAACATGAACTAACAGTGAACAACTATATTTTCATCAACAAAGATTAATAACTACTGTAATAAATGTATTGTTCATTGTTCATGTCAGTTAATACATTGGAACTTTATTGTAAAGTGTCAGCAGTTTACCTTAAAAAAACGAAAATGTTGCCTTGGCAACTAACTGACTAACTTGTACATTTTTCATTCAATATTTTTTATTTTACTTTAGCATTTTATTTTTAAATAGTTTTTAATAATTTAAGTTTCAATAAACGATAACACTGTTCCAAACCAAGCAGCTTTCTGTTGGTCAACACGGTGCACCTGTTGTGAAATATGAACAGGGGGAAATCTTTGTCACTTTCATGTGACATTTCCAATCATGTGGATTCCTATTGAAATCCCTGGATTTTGCCCATGAACATTTGCAAAACAATGGTAAAAGTATTCATTTACAATCACTATCAGCTCTCAGAACGGTTCAAGTTAATGCAGCCAACTTGTAAACAGAGTGAGGTGCTTCAACAGTACTTAAAGCTTAGGAGCGCCCTGGATTATCCAAATTACTCACAAGTCTCTCAACTCAGTCCAAAGGGGACGGAGAGACCCCCAGCTTAACCAAAGCCATGGGCAAGCCAGACAGACCCAACTTTCTTAGCTCCAGATTAGCCCGTCTATCCAAACCAAACATGCAAGATCTTGAGACAAATGAGTACGACCTTCATTTCACTCCAACGTTCTTTCTTTCTCAAAGGCGACCCACGCAATAAAAGCTTTGATTGATTGGTCATTTGAATATCAAAAGCTCTTTACAGAGTATGACTTCTCTGGGTACCACAATGATGGCAAAAAACCCCAGGATCCCCTACTGAGAAGCAGTTTACTCCTAACCCAAGGAATTCTCCACCATCGAGATGTGACTAACTGTTTGCAGTTGCCATGGCGCCTCCGCAGTCCGGAAACATGCGCCACGTTTCCACAGCGACGGAGGACATAACAGGATGCAGGACACACACGTTTGGGAAACAGAACCATCACTGTCATAAACACACGCTCGGCCCGAACACTCTGAAGAAATGCGGTCTGGAAAAAGATAAACACAAACCGCAAACACAAGCCATGTGGACCCCGGCAGCATCATTAAATCATCCTTTATATAACAGGCGAATATGCCATGGTAACCACACCAGTGACATCACTGAATAACTGCACTCCATCTGTTAAAGCGCTGAGGTCATTCCGCAGGACAGAGGAGTGAAAATAACAATTGCACTGACACATAAATGTGTTCGCTGAGGCCGCTGGCTGACCAACTCCAATTCAAATTTGGAAACCTTCGCACAGATATCAAGTAACAGTTCTAATGATTTATTACTTCATTTTTCTGTACATGCAAAAGATGTTGCAAGGTCTGCTCACTCCCTCGCTAATTTCTGGATTTGGAAACTACAGCGATCTATCACGGAAAACAAAGTGGGAACATTTGATCAAGCTGTCTGGTTTTGGCGAAGTTATGCTCTTAGCTTAAGACATCAAAAACTAATTTAAGAGTTTTAAACCTTCTGCCCCTTATACTGCTATGTAAAATCTGCTCTGCACAGGATGTGCTACAAAAGAAACTCTGAAATCATATTGGGTCAGATGCCGTAAAATTAAGCAGTCCATACAATGTGTGCAATATATTCTTCTCAAGTCATACATTAGTTTTGAGTGAGAAACCGATTGAAATTTAACCTGCTATTCACTAAAAATCTCAGCCTCTGCTGTACCTCTCAAATCTTATTTGTACTTTTGCATTTTCACTTCATCAGTTAGAAGATCTTATGATTTTACACACAAATAATGGCTTACATTTTGGCTTCAGACTGTGGAAGTAACAACTCAAGTTTGAATAAATTATGATTTTTGGGTGACTTATTCCTTTATGGGCAGTAGGTTTCAGGACAAGAGAGAGGGAATTTTCACTTTACACCCCAAGCTAATTTTTGCTTGTTCAATGTAGAGTGAACGTACACCGATACTGTTACAAACACATGCGCACATTGTACTCTAAGTGCTTGTGGCTTTAAAGTCACCCAAGAGGTTTTGAACATATACCAGGACGTAGGAAACGTTCATGTTTATGTATGGAAATGGCACACAGGACCGAGATGCTGCCAGAACAACCGCTGCCAGAGTCTCAGGTATAAAAAGCTGGTGAATGAGTTCTGTGTGAAGTGGTTCAGCTCTTCAGGGAAAAAGGAAGCCATTTGAAAAGAATGCAGGATAGGAAAGGTAGTCGGACCGTTAAACAGCAGGCCGGTCTGAAATGAAAGCGCTATGCTAAGAGGGCACATGCTAATTGAAGACGGGCACAGCAGGAGACTACATATACGTTCACTTGGTTTAAACTACTGCCGACGGAAAATAACTGCCCTGCTAAGCGCAGGCAGCTGGTGCGGTTCATGCTGGAGGCACACTTCTGATGCAAAGACTCTCCTGAACCATATGGAGCAAAATCATGCTTCCTTCTAACACACCTCACTTTAGCCAAATACAAAGGCAGCATCTTATGCATCCTCCATGAAGAAGTAAATCCCAGAATCCATTGCGACAAATGAAAAATTATATAATAAACTATTGTCAGGTTAGATGGCATAATGAATTTAGTGCGGATGAAAACAAGGCTGTGATGATAGACTTACATTCCTTACAACGCACACAAATGGCAAAGGTCGTAAATTACATAATTTTCAAAATTCACAGCTTTCAAAACTGTTTAATAGAGTTTTTGCCTACTAAAAGTATTTTCGGAAAAATATTTCATCCGCTGAACAATATGTTTGTTCATATGCATGTTTATAATCAACAGTACAATTAATTGAATGCATCTACTTCTGTCCCTCACAGCCTCACTTTCACTCCTGTCAGAAATTAAATATGGAGCTTCCCTGACTAATGTCTACTGTATGACTGACAATGTTGCATGTGCACATTTTACTCAACACTAAGATAAAACACAGCTCTATACACTAAATGATGAAAACTACGAATATTCTGACAGTATTTTCATGACAATTAAGCACATTTTCCCCAAATTCTTATTAGCGAGTTAGTAAATTATTGTCAATAGTATAGTATAATAGTATAATATGTGTGTGTGTGTGTGTGTGTATATTCCTTATTTCCTTCGAAATATATATTAATAGATATATAATTTGTGTTGTTGTTTTTATAAATCTGTATGTGTATGTTTATATATATATATATATATATATATATGTGTGTGTGTGTGTGTGTGTGTGTATATATTTTTTTTCTTATTCCTTATAATAAATAAATAAAAAAGGGATAGTTCACACAAAAATGAAAATTCTGTCATCGTTTGCTCACCCTCACGATGTTCCAAACCTGTATGCGTTTCTTTCTTCTGTTGAACACAGAAGGACATATTTTGAAGAATGTTGGTAACCAAACAGTTGACGGTAGCCACTGACTTCCAAAGTATGGAAAAAATACCTACTGCTACCGTCAACTTTTTGCTTACCAACATTCTTCAAAATATGTCCTTTTGTATTCAACAGAAGAATGAAACTCTTAAAGGTTTGAAACAAGTAGAATTTTCATTTTTGGGTGAATGATCACTTAAAAATTATTATTATTATTATTATTTCCTTACTTTAAAAAAACGTTTTCAATAGGGTGCTACCTTAGAAGGAAGCGTACTCCCTAGGGTTTAGAACAGTCTTTGTGTCTGTACTGGAAATACGTCTGACATTTTCGGTTTAATGGACGCCAGGCTCAGTTTTATGGCAAATGAAGTTGTATTCACTGTGATGATCACATTTCCTGACGCCTCTTCAGGGGCTGTTCTCTAGACCATATTTGAGTCTGTATTAGCAATTACCATGATGTCTCATCTCTCGGCCCTGAGCTCAAAAAGATCAGCTTACTGGAAAAAGTCTCCACTCAACCTTATGAGGTACAGTTCTCCATTATATCTCACTCGCTTATGTAACTGAGATCTTGGCTTCAGGGAGGCTCGGTGGCTTCCATCATAAGGGTCTCTTTGAGATGACTGCGTGTATGCGCATCAAGACAATGAATGCCAGCTCAGGTGACACCTGTGGAGTGCGTGTCTGTGTCTGACCTGGTCCTCTGTGACGTCTCCTCTGCCGTCAGGGTGTGTGAGAGGACAGCGCAGTGGCATGCTCTGACACAGATGAACCAGCAACATGGACACCTCTTTCATGGTCCTCCAGCAACACACCAGTACCATCTGAGCGGTGACTCGATAGGCCTCTCCATCACCACCACCTAGACAACAAACACACACTCCCAAATAATTACTCGGAAAAAACTGATCAAATGTCGGCCTCTCATGGACAGAACATGTATTACAGCAACACCAGCCCTCGTTTGAAATCAATTCTGGGTCCACTAAAACTATAATGTTTAGAACATGAGCGCAGTTTCTAAAAACATCATACTAAAGGATTTATGATGTGCCTGAATGTGTGAAATCGGAGTCCAAAATGAGTTTTTTTGAGACAGATACTATGGTAAAGGGCAATGGGGTGGAACTGTATCTAGTGATGGATAATTGTGTTTGTACCACTGTTACAGGATTGTGGTTTATGAACTGTGTTCTCTGACTCTTTCTGCTCGCTGTCACGGCCGCTCTCACTGGGGTCCAGCTCTCTGGCACTAGTGAAAAAGTCATTTGTGTCACCAGGTTGAATCTCCTGCAGGATTTTCTGGAGGCCAGCAGAGGTCTCTGTGAAGAGAAGAAAAATATGTATTGTAATTACAAGCATGCAACTGACAAATGTAAAGCGGGACAACATACTGTCCTAACTCCTAACCAGGCATGATGTGGCACTGAAATGTAATACAGCTAGAAACTATGGACAGTTGTGACTCAATTTTAATTATGTATTGCATTTAATAGCATTCTAGGTTGGAAATGACTGACGAAGGCTGATTTGTCAATAAGGATAATTTCATAGCTAGCATTCCATTTAAAGTGACCTTCATAAAACAAAAAGTAAACAATATATACTGTAAAGTCCCAAACAAAACAAGACCCATGAGCTGATGAAAAAATGTCAGCACAATGAATCAAAATAAAGCTAAAATCGCAATTTAGCTCAGTGTGATTATCAGTTTAAAGGGTATGAATGAAATAAAGAACTATATGGTGTGTTAGTGTGATTAACCATGGTTTTATTGTAGTAAAAGTGAAGTAACAATGTTTTTTTTGGTGTATTGATTACAATTTGTATAATTAGTTTAATTAACGTGCATGTGGGATGCACTTTATTTTCACATTCGTAAAAATTGTGGACACGAAGATTACAGCATTTCACCAATATTGCTCCAAAATAAAAGCTTGAGGATTGCAAACATTAAAATCTTGTAGCTTTAAATGTTTGAAAGTGAAAAATTTAAGACACAACATTAGTATTGTAACTTGCACTGTAAAATAAAAATGATTATTCCATGGTCTGTTGGAATTCTTGATTCTGATTTGCTGGCAGGTATGCATTAAAACCGTTTTATGCACAGGTAGTTCCAAGTCAACGTTCTATATTAATGCACTGCTTTAATTGACACACACACACACACATCACTCGCAGAGAGAAAGAGAGAGAAAGAGAGATCGGAGATCCCGCTGCGCAAACAGAAACGTTCAGGAGTAGGCCAACATAAACTTGTTGTCAACGCTGCCCCACGCCTTTTATTAATAAAATGGCGTAGATACTGGATCACTGCATTATATTCCTCAGCAACGAGGTAAAAACACTGGGTACTGTTTAAGTCACTAAACTTACAACTTAATTGTTTGTATAGAGACACACACAACTGTCATCTTTCTCTCTCTCACTCGAACAAACGATCGATAATTAATTTAAATAAATGTTATAATCATTCATTCAAATAAATGTGATCTAACTGCACAATTTCATCTCTGTGTCTGATTTGGAGCAGGCAGAATGTTAGAGCTAACGAGCCGTAACTGACTGTCATTTTTACCCATTCAGTCAAATATTGCGCTGCAATATTTTTATATTGCGCGTCGGGTGGTTCTTTGCCTCCACGTCGTGCATTTAAAATCCTTTAATACACGGCAAGCCAATTGATCATCCCTTACGTATTCAATATTTGGCACTACAACTATATATTTAAAATACAATATTTTAGTCTTAATTTTTATAATTAGTTATTATAATTAGTTATTATTAGTATTATTATTATTATAAGGTGTTTTGTTAATAATATTAATTATGAATGTGTGGTTAAATTACTGAAATATTAACTTAAAATCTCAGAGAGGTACTTTCAGTAAACATTTTACATACTGTATAAAGAAACAAAAATAATAAAATTTTAGATTTGAATAATAATAAAATCTAATTCTCGTCTAATTTGATTATTTTCTCTTTTTACTTAGAAATTGATAGGCATAAACCAACATAACCAAAAAAGACTAACATTATAAAATGGACAGTTCTGCCTCTAAATTCTGATTGAATGATCCATCTTTGAAGTTGTTGTAAAATACTCCTGTGACTTGAACATCATCTGAATTCTATATTAATATGGCAAGTTGTGATATTGCTGGACAACTGAACATAAAACTTGGCATTTTGGTCAACAACGCCAACTAAGATGATCTTCCTCGCCTTAACTTGTTTGGGACACATCCTGATCTATATTTTCAGTATTACTACATGCTTTTTAACACATCCCTCTCATGTGTACATAATCACAATCTATACAATAAAAAAAAAAAAAACAGCATAGGAATTGGTTGACGCACTTCTACCATCACACATTACATACCATCCATACCCCGGGAGATGAGAGGTTACCTTGTGTAAATCAAGGGGCCAACAAAAAGTCTACTAGTGCATTGCTGGACATGCTAGCGACTGGTTAAGACAGTGTTAGATGCATTTACCAGACTCAGTATCCATGCGAATGAGGCCCTCAGGGGAAGAGCTCTGAACCACAGGTGACACGACATCAGACATCCTGTAGCACAGGCCTATGAGCTCTGACACAACAGCCCTCCACTCGGACAGCAGTACAAGTGACCTGAACACACAGAAATATATCAACCACACAAAATGAATGCCAAGACCTCTGTAATAGACAATAAAAGGTTGTGTGTGTGGATGTACCCAGTGTTGAGCTGCTGCAGGACTGCAGTGATGCAGTGAGCTCTGCCATACAAAGGACAGGAGGAAGTGGCTTGCAGAAGAGACGACTCGGCCTTTAAAACCTCTTCCATCAGACACACCATCAGCCACTGCACCACTGAAACATCACAAGCACACTCTCTAATTTAGATACATACATTATTTAGATACATACATATACTGTATACATTGATCTAATTTAGATTGACGTATAGAGTTAAAACAACCGCAGAAGTCTCACTTGTCATTTCCACTCATGAAGAACACAATGTATATTGGTAATGTATATTTTGTTTGAATCTTTGTTTTCAACAAAACATTATTAATCAAAAGAAATTAACTGCATATTAAAAATGAGTAGTAGTAGTAGTAGTAGTCGTCTATAACTGAATTTTTAGGAATTCTAAATAAATTATTTACATTCTAAATAATTTATTTATAATATTTTAATTATATAATTTACATATGTGACCCTGGACCACAAAACCAGTCTTAAGTCACTGGGGTATATTTGTAGCAATAGCCAAAAAACATTGCATGGGTCAATAAGAATATTTCTGAAAATTGCAGATTGAAGCGTGAATTCACCAGTCATCATTTACTGATCCTCATGTCTTTCGAAATGCACTTTCATTAATCATCAAAACACAAATTAAGATATTTTTACTGTAATCAGAGAGATTTTGGTCCCTCCACTGAAAGCCCAAGTAAGCAAAACTTCAGTAATTCAAAATAAAAAATAAAAATCATACTTCAAATTTTTGGTTACACAGACTTTCAATGGAGGAAAAAAAAAAAAGCCTAAATTAAATCTGTTCATTATATAAAATGATCGTGTCTCTTCAGAAGACTTTGTAAAACGAATCCTTATGAATCAAGCAGTTTCATCAATGCCTTTATAAACTTTTTAGATCAAAGTTTTGGTTTCATGGACTTTAAATGGAGAGATAGAAATCTGTCAGGAAGGGAAATATCCCTTTAAGAATGGACATTTGGTTTTTGAAGTCTTGAACGTGCATTTTAAAGTTCACAATTAAATTACAGAAATTCTTGAAATTCTTGATAATTGACATCCTGCTTAAACCATCTTTCAGATGGCAGCTTGGCTCATAAACCAACATTTTCACCCATCTTGAGTGATGGTCATGTAACACTAGTGTACCTGCCAGGGTGTTCTGCTCCAGACCGGAAGCCTCAGATGCCTGGGACTGGATCAATGCTTGTGGCTGGACAGGGATGTGCTGCTTCTGGATACAGCTGAGCAACGCATCCTGCAGACCCGGCTGGTGCAGCAGCAGTTTGAGAAGATGAGCGGCAGTGACGCTGTCGAAGGGTTTGGTGCTGGTGCGGAGGTTCAGAGCGACCTGCAGCAAAGACTGCAGCCTCTCCGGCTCCTACACAGAGGAGGACAAGCGATCATATGCATTCGAACTTTGCTCAAAACTAGACAGACTACTCAGACTCTTATTTTCACACTGACCTGGAGTCGCACTGCTGCGGGTGGCAGTTTTTGTAAGAGGTACCAGGCGAGCTGTTTGACTTCAAGAAAGTTGCTTGCAAGACAGCACAGCTTGAGCATGAGAAAAGCTCACTGACTCTCCAAGAGCAAAACCAGAACCTGAAAAAAGAAAAAAAAAAAGACGTGAACAGATGAACTGCTTAATTTAAAGATACTAAAGAGCACAAGCTTAAGCTTAATTTATGTGGTGAAATAATATTTATTTTGCATGACTTATAGTAAAATGTTTAGAAATAATGTAAAAAATAATAATTTGAACTTGATAATTTTGTAAAATACACAGATTTCTATTTTACCAATAATTTAAAAAATGACAAATATCAGCTGATAAAATGAGTCTTAGCAATATATCAGTCAACCACTAGGGGAGACATCCTTGTGCAAAGAAAAATATATGAAAACTCATTAGCAGGCTAGTGTTTTCCAGTGTTTGGGAGTAAAGACTGGCTAATACCTGTGTTAAAGGTGAAATGCTCAGCTATCAGCCCCAGCAGGTGCAGAGCCATCAGACACCTGGAGAACGAGGCTCCTGGGTGAAGCACCTGGAACAGTGTTTCATAGAACCAGCGCAGAAACTCCTGATAAAACAGAGAAAATTGATTTTTATTTTCTGAAGAAAATGTGAGTGGTGCTTGGCTGTACAAAACAAAGGACACCACAGTCGCATGGCTTCAACGTTACCACCATTAAGCTTGCAACTTAATTACCGACTCTTTCAGTTTTTATTTAAAAACTACAAGTTGAAAAGTTTGAGTTAGAAAAGTTTGCAAGAGTAAACTAATGAGTAAATGAGTTTTCCTGTTTAGCGTGATGATGTTTAATGTCCCCAACTAACTCTGTAGTCCCATTTAGTTATCAAAACATGAAAAAAAAAATCATGAGTGGAAAATTACTAATGGATTCATCCCAACTAACAGAACTCCTGCTGATGGGAAAAACACATTTTTCTTCTGTTATCTTATTGTTTATTGCTTCATGTGCGTCTCCTGTATTTAACACATCACTCAATGTCTGTGTAATCAGAGCACTCTTCTTAGCACTTCTTGTTTAGATTTAGAATTAGAATTATGTAGCTGTATGTGAATTTAAACGATCTGCAAAGTTGAAAAGTGGAAAGAGCATAAATAAAGTTATTGTCTCCCAAAAGAAAGAATAGACTCTGAACAGCCTAAACGAGTCCTCAGTTATTCGAATCCCACTTCCGTAACAGCTAACACATTTGCTTAATGCCCGCCTACGTTTTACGTTCGCTTTACGTTGTCTCTCCTGAAACTCTGCAGTGTATGCGTGGATAGATTATACACAGAAAGCGAGCAAAGAGCGCTCCCTTTATAATCAAGTTGTCATTCATTTGAGCTGCAGTGCGAATGGCTACAATACTCAATGTTGCAAATCACTCTGTAAATAGAAACCTTTGACGGTCTTCAGACTGCAGAGCATGAACACAACTAAGCACAGGACTGTTTGAAAGCAACTGCCTATCAGCAGGTACCGAACTGAGTCGAAGTAGTCTTGGATATTGGACCCGCAGTCCACCCGTGCCTACTGATTCCCCGATCCGCACCAGTTACGGTTCGCATGCAGGACTCTGGTTTCTCTTACAGCTCACTTAGTATCACAGTTCTACCTGGTACATGTTGAGGACTTGCTGGTCTTTGTGGTCGTCATGTTGGTTAATTAAATTAGATAAAAAATGAAATTCAATAAAAAGAATAATAAAATTAAATAAAAATATATGACTACAATTTCTGTAAATTAGTTTAAATTGTCTGTTTCAATCTCTAAGCATCATCATTCTTCAACTAAAATGTAGTATCAATATTACATAAATTATAAATTATTATGCATTGCTATTTTGGAGATAAAAATTATTTAAGATCTTTTTTTTTTTAGTTCATTTAGTGATAAACATGGTTCCAAGGCAGCTTTACAGAAAATAAAGGAATAAATACTTGAAATAAATCTTACTGAATCTTACTGCTGCTTAAGAAACATTGATATTATTATAAATGGCAAAAACATTTTTGTGAATTCATATACTAATATATATAATATAATATAACATAATATATATATATATATTAGGGCTGCACGATAAATCGCATGCGATATTTAACGAAGTATATAAGTTGTTTGATCCAATCGAGCGGTGCACAGTACCTGCAGCAGAGGCCTCACCCAAACTTCATGCCACACATCTATCCAGACATCCCCATCCCTAAACCGGGCACACAACTGGGCCTTATGGCTGACAAACAGCTTCTCCAGAAGGTCGCTGGCGTATGGTGCCATCGTCTGATCCCCCATCAGACCCAGCAGTCTGGATGGCAGTCCACCATCAAGCTTGAGTAGATACTCTGCTCCTAAGTGCTCCACCATGCAGGCCAGTGTGCCGTACTTCCCTTTCATATGCCACTCCAGTGCTAGAAGGTCCCGGGAGAGCTGGGTGATGTAAGGGTCGCTGGTGGGATCGGACTTGTGGTCGCTGCAGTGTTGGTGGAGCGTGAGGAGGTTCTGGAACATGGAGCGCGTCTGGTGGCGAACTCCATCCAGCGGGTGCTCCCAGTGGGCATAAATGTGGTGGTGAAGGCGTGCGATTAGAGGAGAGCCTCCAACCAGAGACAAGCGAAGAAGAGGGGGACACGTGTCCACCTGGACGCAGTCAACCGCAGCTCCACTCCAAAGTGTCAAAACTCGAGCCACTACCATCACCGTACTGGACTCCTTCACTCTGAGAGAGAGATTCATGTCAGAGAGTAGTTCAAATGGAAATCCAAGTTGATCAACTTCAAAATGAACTAAAAACAGCAGTACAATGTGAATTAGGGGATGAATTTAGAGATACAACTTATTTGAGTGTAAAACAAAATGTGAAAAAAATGCATTATTTAATTACTCTTTCATTTTGCTTTCTCACAACTGATATTATGAGAAATCATGGATATTTTTTCCCAATGACAGTCATTTTTACCTATATTACATGTGAAGAGAAAATACTACTTTGAAATGAGACCTTTTTACCTTGTAAAATAAAAATGGTTGGTAAATAAAAAAAAATAAAAAAAAGTTTAACATGGTTTATATTGCGTCTTTCTAGGGAGTTTCTTATTTCCTGTCACTTTTTATCTTGCTCTGTAAATATTTGCAATATTTACTGTAATGCAGCTTCAGAATTTTTTATTGTGAAAGACTCTGCACAAAAGAATGACAAATATACACTACCGTTTCTCAGTATTTTTCTAAATTCTTTTAATACTTTCAACTGTCAGCAAGGATGATTTAAATTGATCAAAAGTGACAGTGAAGATATTTATAATATTACAAAAGTTAAAAATGCTGTTCTTTGAACTAGAATATTATACATCAAAGAATATTCTTTAAAAAAAAAACAGTTTACACAATAAATATCAAGCAGCACAACTCTTTCCAGCAGTTGATGATAACTGATAAGAAAATGTATAATAGAATTTTTTTCCAGCATATTATAATGATTTATGAAGGATCATGTGACACTGAAGACTGGAGTAATGATGCTGAAAATTCAGTTTTGCATCACACATTTTAAAATTAATTAAAATAGAAAACAGCTATTTTAAATTGTAATAAAATTTCACAATATTACTGTTTTTTTCTGTATTTTTGATCAAATAAATGCAACCTTGGTGAGCATAAGAGACCTCTTTCAGAAACTTTTTTTAATCTTACAGATTCCGAACTTTTAAAAGATAGTATATAAAAAATTGAATAGAAAATGTTTCTTGTTCAAGTTTTGCATGTTCTTTGTGTGAATGCGTTTGGTATTCAGTACCTTGTATCTAGAGACAGGAGCACTTCAGGTATGAGCAGCAGCAGTTTCTCAGCCTGTGGACCGAGAGTTCTTCCTCTCCAGCTGAGCATAGCCAGAGCTCCATGACTTGGATACAGAGCCACAGCTGCAGGCCTGCTGCTCTCATACAGACGTGTGCAGCTCTGTCTCAGCCATTGGGTGGCGATGCTGCCTGCATCCACCAAACACTGCTGGAGACCCTCAACCTAGAAACACATTTCCCACTTAACAGTGCTTCCACAGTCAGGAATAGGTTCAAATGCAGCTGAAGTTGAGACAGGGTACAGAATAAGCTTCTTCAGTGGCGGCGCTTGACGAGGCTATAGCCCCATAAGAAACTTGCTTAGCCCCGGCACAGCCCCCCCCCCAAGGATTTCCTAATGAGGTTCGGGTTTTTTCCTTATTTTTGGTGTCACTTTCATTAACATTAAAAAAATAAACATTAAAAAAAATGCCTAATATGTGGCCTATAAACGATTGATATTATGGGGGAGGGGTCAAGCAACACAAGCAAGCTACGCGCAAACTGTGCGCAAGAGTTATGCCAGTGAACGTCAGTAAACTCACTATAGAGAATGTGAAGTAAAAAAAATGACGGAGCTTTCTAACGCTGCATTAACGGCGCATATTCTCTGAGACAACGAGAGACGAAACTACTTCAACATATATTCGACATACTATCATAACAAAATTAACAATTCGTCTAACTCTCGCATGCTCTTTAAAACATTGTCCTCCCTCCTTTGTCCTCCTCCTCCCCCTCCTTCATCAATCTCTAACAGCTGACGACTTTGTCACGTTCTTCATTAACAATCAATACATATCTTGCTGGATCGGTCCGCTGCATTTGACACGGTTAACCACCAGATCCTCCTGTCAAACCTATTGGCAAAAGGCATCTCAGGAACCACACTCCAGTGGTTTGAGTCTTATCTCTCAGATAGGTCCTTCAAGATATCTTGGAGAGGTGAGGTGTCCAAGTCACAACATCTAACTACTGGGGTGCCTCAGGGCTCAGTTCTTGGACCACTTCTCTTCTCTGTCTACAAACGCTGCATTAACGGCGCATATTCTCTGAGACAACGAGAGACGAAACTACTTCAACATATATTCGACATACTATCATAACAAAATTAACAATTCGTCTAACTCTCGCATGCTCTTTAAAACATTGTCCTCCCTCCTTTGTCCTCCTCCTCCCCCTCCTTCATCAATCTCTAACAGCTGACGACTTTGTCACGTTCTTCATTAACAAAATTAAAACCATCAGTGCACAATTTTCCACACCACAATCTGTCAAGCACATCTTACCAGCAAACATACACTCGTTCACACCCTTCTCTTCACTCTCTGAGGCAGAAGTCTCCAAACTCATCCTTTCTAATCATCCTACTACTTGTCTGCTTGATCCTATTCCATCTTATCTTCTTCAAGCCATTTCTCCTGCAGTTGTACCTGCACTCACATCATTAACACATCCCTTCACACTGGTGTTTTTCCCTCAGCATTTAGACAGGCTCGTATAACCCCACTACTTACTCACTCACTTAACACATCCCTTCACACTGGTGTTTTTCCCTCAGCATTTAGACAGGCTCGTATAACTCCATTACTTAAGAAACCCACCCTTAACCCATCTTCTTTAGAGAACTACAGACCGGTTTCCCTTCTTCCTTTCATTGCAAAAACACTTGAACGAGCTGTGTTCAACCAAGTCTTTGCCTTTCTCAAACAGAACAACCTACTCGACAGCAGCCAGTCTGGTTTCAGAAGTGGGCATTCATCAGAGACTGCCTTGCTCTCAGTTGTTGAAGCCCTAAGACTGGCAAGAGCGGATTCCAAATCGTCAATACATATCTTGCTGGATCGGTCCGCTGCATTTGACACGGTTAACCACCAGATCCTCCTGTCAAACCTATTGGCAAAGGGCATCTCAGGAACCGCACTCCAGTGGTTTGAGTCTTACCAGAAACCTTGGAGTTATGATTGATGATCAGCTGACTTTCTCAGACCACATTGCTAAAACTGGTCCTGAAGATTTGCTTTATTCAACATCAAGAAGATCAGGCCCTTTCTTTCGGAACATGCTTCACAACTCCTTGTTCAAGCTCTTTGTTCTGTCCAGGCTGGACTATTGCAATGCTCTCTTGGTAGGTCTTCCAGCCAGTTCTATCAAACCTTTTCAATTAATCCAGAACGCGGCAGCAAGATTGATTAATAATGAGCCGAAAAGAATGCACATCACACCTCTGTTTATCAGTTTGCACTGGCTACCAATAGCTGCTCGCATAAAATTCAAGGCATTAAAGGTGACATATGAAAATCTGACTTTTCCAGGTTTTAAGTGCTATAATCAGGTCCCCGGTGCATCTACCAACCAAGGAAACGTGAAAAAGATTAACCCAATCACTTTGTTTAGGCAAGCCTTTTTCTGCAAGCGTCTGAGAATACGAGCGCGCCTGATTTCGCTCCCTTGGTGACGTGGCAAAGGGATCTCATTGTAATATTAATGATATTAATCTGTAAGCTTCCAACCACGGCGCAGTCATTTTGATTTTGTAAGCGACAACAATTTACCAGTTCTAACGTCATGGCGAAAGTTTGAGCAAAACATGCTAACTGTTCTGTGTTTGTCTGCACAGACGAGCACAGAACACTGTTTAGAGTCCCAGCCTCAGAGGAGACAACAGAGCAGTGGATTTATTGATTTATTTAGGCTACTGTATATTGCTGCTGCCACACAGATCTAAATTAAACAAGCGATTTATTTCCCAGCTGTTTACCTTCACAGACATAACCGACTGTTTTTGTAACTTGCGTGTTTTTAAGTAAACTTGTGTGTGAATGAGAACTTAGATTAATACTCACATGCTGTGACAGCAGCTTTCTGTCCATGTGCTTCGGATGTGTGCGCTCAGAAAACCTTTTATCTGAAGTTTAAACTCATATGGTTTAAAATGCATGATTTCAGCGCGATAAACATGATAATCAGAACCAAAACAGATGTTTTTAGCAGATACGAGCTGTAAAGGCACATCTCTATTCTGGAAAAGGGGGCGGGGAGCAGCAGCTCATTTGCATTTAAAGACACAGGCCCGAAAAACAGCTTGTTTCTGCTTCCACTCAAAATAGGCATTTTCAAAATGATATTATAAATGCTCTGTGGAGTCTTTTGAGCTGAAACTTCACAGACACATTCTGGGGACACCATTGACCCTCTAACTCTAGCACTCTCTATTCTAAATTCTACTCTTTATAAAAAAAAAATTTCTAGAAATTATTTTAGACTTGCACCATTTATTTACTAACTGCTTGTTTTCTTAAAAAAAAAAAAAAACTAACACTTGTTTCTCTAATCTTTCTGCATTCTATGCGTTTTCTTTTTATTTATTATACAATTATAATTCTGACTTTCTGACTTCTGATTAACAAAAGCAAAAAAAAAAACGTTTTTCTCCTTAAAACTCCTCTAACATTAACTTGCTTTTTCTATTCTATCGGTTTTCTTTTTATTTATTATATGATAAAAAAAA